GGCCTCAATACGAGGTCAGTTATTTAAAACATTATATAAGTAACGAACTGATTCATCTAAATTTTTTACTTGAGACTATCTTTCTTGTTTGGGTTTTGGCCGATAATATTGTTTACTACGGAATTTTATAGAGGTAAGAGAACTTGAGATTGTGGTAAAAAGAATCCCTTGTCAAATTAATTGCATTACAAAAAGTAAGCTTTTTATTAGTAGTGGCCAAAGATCATGACAATGTTAGTAGTTACTGCATGTTTATTGGTTTGCCATCATTTTCTTTTGTTTGGTTCATCATTTAACTTTTACTCTGATCAAATAAAGTGAACTATGTTTCGAAATTTGTCTATCACCTTTCTATTTCTTTTTCCTACTAGCTTACATGTATTCACGTGATTTATGGAGTATGGTATTTTTATTTGTGTAGCCTTTTGTCATTGCTACTGTGGATATCTTTGCTGAGAATCTGACAGTATATATCTTAGAAGTAGGAGATCAACAGCATACCAGATGTCATATGATAAGCTATTTTTTAACAGTGTCCTGTCTCTGCCATCTAAACGCCCCCCAAAATAATAGGGAATTAAATAGGGAATATGATTCTTTTTGTGACTTGTAAAAAGTTCTCGAGAGAGAAGTGAATTCACATAAGGTAGGCTAAGTAATTTTAAACATTCAATTGGTGTAATATAAGTGATGTAATTCCATACCTTGTCGCTCATCTTCATGAACTCTGACTGCTTCACTGGACTTGTTTAACTTCTTTAACCATCCAATTGGTTTAACATTAGTGACACAATTCCATACCTTCTCCTCCATTTGTCATGAATGCAGACGGTCTCAATAGACTCGTGTAACTGCTTTAAGCGTAGTGTAGGAGTTTTGTCTCATTTTATTAGATTTCATGTAATCAAATTGTAGAGGTTGATAATTTTTGAAAATTTCATTTTTCTTGACAGGGTTGGTGTTGCCAGCTTTATCTCATTGCTAGTTCAAAAAGTCGGTACCGAGATAAAGCCGTTCACTGGAATGCTGCTAAAACTTTTGTTTCCTGTTGCCAAGGAGGAGAAAAGTTCTTCTGCAAAACGTGCCTTTTCGAGTGCTTGTGGCATTGTATTGAAGTATTCTAGCCCCTCTCAAGCTCAAAGCTTAATCGAAGAAACTGCAGCTCTGCACTCTGGTGATAGAAGCTCCCAGATCGCATGTGCGAGTCTTTTCAAAAGCTTCTCATCTACAGCTTCTGATATTATGAGCAGTCACCAGTCGGCTATTGTTCCAGCTATATTTATTTCCAGGTAAACCATTGTAACTGCATACTGCTGAGTCTGATGCATGTGATATATTTTACACAAGGAACTTGAAATCTGAAAATGACTGATATCATGTTCAAATACCGTCCCCAAGTAAGATCCGAAGAGTATTTTGCAATTTGGGTCACATGGTATATTTTTCTCTTGCAAATATTTGGCAGATTTGTTTTGTCCCATCTTTAAAACCTTTCCCTAGCCTAAGAAACTCCTTATAAAATCAAAATTCTTTCCTTCTATTTGAGAATACATGAGAAGCTTACTGTGACTATAAATTTCAGATTTGAGGATGAAAAACAAATTTCGAGTCTCTTTGAGGAGGTGTGGGAAGATATCACAAGTGGTGAAAGGGTCACACTACAGTTGTTTCTGCAAGAAATTGTGAATCATATTTGCGAGAGCATCACATCATCATCATGGGCAAGCAAGAAAAAGGCAACTTTTTTTATCTTTCTCGTGCCAGTTTTCTCTCTTCATTGTTTCTTAATTATATTTCCGCTGTTTTACTCATAGAAGATTTAAACTTTCTTTCAGTCTGGTAAGGCGATATGCAAACTAGCTGAAGTCTTGGGTGAATCATTATCGCCACACCACAAGAGATTGCTGCAATGTCTTGTCAATGAAATTCCTGGACGATTATGGGAGGTGGGACAAGTTTCATTTAATATTTATTTTCCTTTTCCTTGAAGGTTCACAAAAAGTTATTTGAAATATCGTAGCAGCAGATTAATTGAATTTCGAGAGAAGATTTATCTTTGTTGCTCCATTAAGAGCTGCAGCTCTGCTTTACTTGTCCCTATGGATGGATAGAGCTGGTGTGTGTATAGAGGCACTTTTGTTGCAGTAGTTTTTCAAATCAATACTTCTGACTGCAGGGAAAGGATGCTCTTTTGGATGCCCTAGGTGCTCTTTCAGTCGCTTGCCACGTGGCAATAACTATGGAGGACCCAACAACTCCCACTACCATCTTGAGTCTTATCTGTTCTGCATGCAAAAAGAAACTCAAGACATATCGCGAGTCAGCCTTTTCTTGTCTGGAGAAGGTAACTAAAAGACTATTTGTGGCTTCCTATGCAAATTTTTTGAGATCAATCATGATATCTAAATCTGCTAATAATGCAGTTCTTACACAGCATTTCGGTTAGTGGATCTGTGAATATTTTGATTATATTTATCAGGTCATAATAGCTTTTGGCGATCCAAAGTTTTTCCATGCCGTTTTCCCGATGTTGTATGAGATGTGTAGTACTGCCTCTGTCAAAACGAGCACCCAAGTTCAGGCAACAAGTGATACTGTCAAAACAGGTTCTTACACGACCACTCTACAATCCCATTAGTCTTATGCTTCGATTGATAACACTTTTGCATCATTTGTGTGGTTACATTGGATCCCTAATATGTTGAGTAGTAACTGTTAGTTCTTGTGTTTTTGTCTCATCCAGCTGGGTGATTATTAACTTAGATTAGGAAATTTGGGGTAGAAATAGGCAGATGCTCGTCAAGCATTGCTTGTTTAACAATAAACCGAAAGTTGATCGAGGAAATGAAAACCCCTTACCTCGTTGAATAGCTCATATAAGAGATAGGTCATGTAGCATCAGAAATTTGTATCAGTACTCTGAACAGTCCACATTTTGTTTTCAGAATCAGAAAACGGAGAAGACGGACAAGTCCCACTTGAAAAAATTATGGAATGCGTCAAGTCTTGCATCCAAGTGGCAACTATAGATGATATTCTTAGCGCGAAAGCAAACTTGATTCATGTTCTTTTAATTTCCTTATCACCTGGTTTTCTGTGGACTGGTACTGGTTTCTTCTCTCACTTCATCTTCCAGTAAACTTATGATTACCTTTACTAATCTGATTTTCCATTGGCAGTAAAAATGTCTGGAATTTCATGTGTGGGAAAGCTTTGTTCAAGTTTTCAGAGTCTATGGACAGACTCCATGGATGACCTTTCACCTAGTGATGCGACAAAATTCGTTCATGAGGTAATTAATCACATCGACAGTTATCACCCCACGTGTGTATAATTTGAACTGGAAATTAAGTTTTCTGCTTGCTTTTCAGTTATTTCACTCACTAGTTCCTAAACTACTGGAATGCATTCACACTGTGAAGATAGCACAGGTATGTTCTTCTCTGGCTTGTATTCAATTCCAATGAAAAATGAAACAAATTTCGTGATTTGGTATTTTTTTTTTTTTCACGGAACAGATCATTAGGGCATGAATAGCCTTAATAGCTGAAAGTGGATGTCTTTATTAGGTTTTAATCGGGGTAGCTTGATGAAAAGTGTCATGAATTATTTCTAGTATACTTGCATTTAGAGTTAGAGTATCTTCTTCTCAAGTTAGTTTATCATGCTTGATGAGTTTTTATCTAAAAGGAAAGAACCATTGTTTTGACAAAGTATAGGAGTGGATTTAACTAAGTCCAGTCTAGTCCTTTCGATTAGCAGAAGATTTGAATCAACTATCGATAGAATCTATGTAATTTTATTCAACAAGATTCCACCTACCACCAGTTGTTTGCATTTTGGATTCGTTTTGATGATCTTCATACTATTGTTTGCATGACCAGAATATGATGATTAAGAAAACCAAATGTTTTGTGTAGTAATTTCACAAGATATCTATCTTGTCTTTTAACTAAATCCTAATTGAATGTTTTTGGACATAAAAAACTCAGTTTCATGTAGCTGCTTCCCAATGCCTGCTCGAGCTCATCGAACTGTATAGCACAGTTTCGTCTTTGCATCCCGTGGAAGTAGATTTCAAGGCTGAAGTTGTCTCTTTACTTGAACTCGAGAAGAGTGAAGAAGCCAAGTCTTTGTTGAGAAAATCCAGGGATGCTCTTGCAAATCTCCCCTCGTTAAACTGAGCAAACACAGGAAATATTTTAGTTTTATGCCTTAAATTGATATAAAATGGGAATCGAATTACTGTCTTTGTTTACTTGTACAACAAGTTCACATGGAGATAATCTTCTAAGTTTTTACTTTTCTTCCCCGATGGTTACAATTTCTTCACGGCTTTTTTTTTTAGCCAATCTATCTGCTTCTTACATTCGAGGTTTGTGAGCTGAGCTCAAAAACCCAAACTGCAAAATTATGAATGGCAAAACTGCAAATCACGATCAAATCTTAGAAGCTTGACCAATTCCTTGTGAGGAGATCATGTGGCTTGCAGTCATTACGACTACGAATTAAGTGTATGATTATTGTAGAGGAGAGAGGCCATTAAACATGGAACTTCTCTTCCGAGTCGATTGATCTCCTTAGGTAATTGTAATTTCTTTTTTTTTTGGATTCCGTCCTAGAAAGTGAGGTAAGTAGTAGTTACCAAGAAGATATTAGTTTTATATATATCTGAATCAGAGAAGAAAGCTAAATCTTAAGAATTGTGTTTAGTTGTTCAACTATGTGCAAAGTCACTTCCAGCTCCTTTTTCTTTCAAAATCTCTGAATGATCAAAGTTGGTAATTTAAATGAAATATTGTCAGCTTAGTCTGTTCAATGTATATCTCTCCCTAAAAGGCCAACTGACTATACATCACATAAGAGAAGAAAGATATATAGTCTGGGTTCGGAATGCCGAGAGTTTTATGGTAATCAATCCAATGGGTGAATACATCAAAACAAGTTATCTCTTCCAAAGTGAAGAAGCCAATGTGTGAGGAATCAAAACAAGTTGTCTCTACAAAAGAATTGCGAGATTTCGTAAAGACGTAAACCAATCCAAAGAGTATTTGATATTCGTTGGAGCTAAAAGTCACAAAGACATCAAACACTACAAGGAGACCGTTAATGATGCATCGTCCTACAACCATTGTTTAGAATTTAGATAACTGATAATCAAACAGTTGACGTTTTTGCTATTCCAGCTGCCAGTTAATATCTCTTCGGGATTTCTGCCGCTCAGCCTCTCTCTCTCTCTCTCAATCTCTTTCAGCGGCGCGTCATCCTCAATCCCACTCTGTGGATTTAGCAACACTCAAGTCTCATATGTGAGTTCACATATCAAAATCAGCAATCTCACCTTGACAAACAGAGCTCATCAATGACCATTTGGATAACATAGCTTTCCTGCCCAAGCCTTCGGGGTTATTGCCTGCTCCTCCGTCACCAAAATCAAGTCTATTTGATTCATGACTGAGGTTGCAGCGTTCACAAACTCTGAATGTCTTTATTGTACTCTCTATACCTCAGTCCTCACAAGCAGAAACTGATCTTCCACATTTTGATCTTCTCTACGCAAAAAGAAAACAGATCATCTCTCTTATTAGGATGTGCGATCACAAAACCAACCAAGGTCTATTAATGTATTCTCAGAACTCAGAAGACCAGGCTTATTTTTATCGCAGTATACGTGACAATGAAAATGGAGACCATTTTGGGAGGTTATGAATAAACTGAGGGTTAAGTATTAGTAGTAATTAGTTATTAATCATGCTTCAGGATTACAGATAGATCCCTTGGTTTGGTTATGGCATTGAGTATACAATCACTCCTATGATAGAAACTATCTGGTCGATAAACTTGATTATAATAGATAAAAGAAGCATTTGAACTGACCAGAATAAGCATTGTTGACTTCATCCTTCGCATTGTCCACGGATTGCATCCATTCCTATAGCATGGAGTTTGTTACTTCAGCCAAAGTTGGGAGAAGAAACAACTCTTACCAGAGTAAAGTCATGTAAGAAGCGCATTTTCATAATCATTCTTCAAAAATCCCTCCTTTATGCAGATGCAGATCCAAAGATTCTTCTCAATGTGCTGAATTCTACCTTTTACCTCCAAATGTGATGCATACACCATGTACGATATAGATCACCAAAGCCATACACTTGACGTTCCAAAATTTACACTCATTATAACCCTTTATTCCCCATTTTGAAATCTCTTCGCCTTCAAAGCAGCACGCTTAACTGCAGCCTCAAAATGTTCAGTCGGTATATTATACTTTTTTGACAGTTCGGTAACAAGTGTGACTGCCTTATCTATGTATCCTTTCCGAAAATAACTAGATATTAGAGCTGTGTAAGCCACTATATCAGGCTCCAGCCCGCTGTCTATCATTCGATCAAAAAGTTCAGCAGCTTGTTCTAGCTTGTCCATCTTGCACTGACGATCTATCAAAACTGTATAGCTTACAACGTCTAATCCAATACCAGAGGCTGAGAATTCTCTCAAAAGTTCTGAATTTCTTTTTCCCACTTCTCCTTGAACAGAACCTGTTTCATGATGCTCTGGATCCAACTTCAGGTACCTATCAAGTAAAACTGTGTATGTTACCACATCAGGTTTTATTCCTCTCTGCTTCATGTCCTCAAAAAGAGACTCTGCTTTCTGTAACTCATTTAGCCTACAGTAGGTGTGAATCATGATTGTATAAGTAAACAGATCAGGGATGAGTCCTCTCTCAACCATTGTGTCAAATAACTGCTGGGCGTCTATCGCATTATTTAACCTACACAACGCCCCAATCATTTTGCCACACATGCTCCTCCCAGGTTCAACTCGATAAGCCCACATTCTCTTCAGTACGGTATGAGCTTTGTCGAGACAACCCTCAATGCATAGACTAAAGAATAATTTGATGTACACACTCTTGCGCAGAGGGTATTCCAGTGTAACGAATAGTTTAAAGGCCTTTTTAGAAAGGCCAGATTCACAGTAACCTTTCACCAAACTGGCTTTATTTTCTGGACATTTTTGCTCTAGACTCATGAAGAAATCTTCGGCTTCTTTTACTTTACGTGCAAAACACAAGCCTTCAATGATCACATTGTCAGTGACAGCATTAGGCTTTAGACCCTCAGCTTTCATTCTTTCATAAATCTCAAGCACCGCTTCCTCATGACCATTCCTGGCCAATCCACTGACAAGCACATTGTATGTAATTAAATCAGGAGAGGTACCATTTCCTATCATTTCATCAATCAAATCAAGGGCATCAACAACTTTACCTTTAAGGCAATAGCCATCTATCAGAGTTGTGTAGTTGATGACATCAGGAACAATTCCTTTATCCTTCATTTCTTGGAGAAGCTCAATAGCTTCTTCCACTCTCCCAAGCTTGCTCAACGCATCAAATGCGACATTGTAACAAACTCTGTCAAGGAAAATATTCATGTCTCTAAATTCTTTAAACTTCTCTAACGCTTCCAAACACATGTCCATCTTACAATAGCACTGAAGAATCGAACTAACAATCACACAATTTATTTTCAGTCCTTTTCCCAACATTTTATCTAAAAACCCCAATGCTTCAGGTAAATTCATGTTCTTGCAATATCGATCAATTATCGCTGAGCAAGCACTAACATCAGGACCAAACCCAATTTTCTCCATTTCAAGAATAACACTTTCAGCAGCTTCCATTTTCATCTCATTACAAAAACCGCGAACCACCATGCAAAATACAGTTCTAAGGTCATCACCAACCAGAACATTCGTATCTATCATTTCTTCTATCAAAACAACAGCTTTCTCTGTCTCTCCATTGACACAAAGTCCGTCAATGAAAGTCTTATAAGAAAACACGCTCGGACTTTCCAGAAGCAACATAGCTGCTCCTTCTAAATCGCCTTTCCTACACAATGCCTTAACCACAATCGCATACGTGTACTCATTTGCACACAACCCCAACTGCTTAAGTTGCTTAAACAAAGCCACCACCATACCAATTTTCCCAAACTCAATCAAACGATTCATCAAGAAATTACACGCCTTAATATCGGGAACACAATCCAACCGTTTACTCTGAAACAAAACATCGATCGCCTCGTCGAACATCCCGAGACCAACATAAGCTTTAACCAAAGCACCAGAGACTCGAATCAAAACCAAAGAACGTTGATCTTCCTCAGCTTCTTCTTCTCCAATAACTTCAATCAAATCCATTACACTGAAACCACGCTCCTCGTTCTTAATTAGTTCAACTAACACAGAATCTAACTTCCTGTCCAAACCCCAACTAGTAAGAATTCTGACAAGAGTTGCGTAAGCATTAACATTAGGAGAAACATCATGTTCTTTAAGCTGTCGTAAAAACGACAAAGCCTGATTTGGGTCATCTCTGGTACTATTCAGGAGTCGCTGAAGACCATATTGAGTAAGCTTAGAGAGGTTAAGATGATTCACCTGTTGTTCAGAATCTGAGAGATTGTTAGGGTTGTTGAGAGCAGAGACGGCGAAGAAACGCGAAGAGGTGGCTGCTCTTCGAGTCAATCGCAATTGTGAGAGTAAGAAGAAGGTTGGAGAAAACCGCATCAAAAATGGTGACGTGATTTCCAGAGGGAAACAGAGTAATCGAAGAAGATGATACAATCTTTAAACCCTAAACCCAACCCGCGGTTGATTCTTTCATTATTATTTTTATTTTGGCACAAAGTGTAAAAATTTGTAAAATACTTTGGATAGAGAAAATGTCTGGGGAGTACTGTAACCTCTAATGAACCCTAAACCCAACCCGCGGTTGATTCTTTCATATTTATTTGTAATATACTTGGATATGGTGTTACATGGATTGTATTTTTCTATCCAATTTATACCCATCTTTAAAAATCTCTATTAACTCTCTAGAACTTTTTTTTGTAATTCTATTTGCAAGTTCCATACTTTTCAATTTTCAGTTTATGCACATCTATTCAAATCTATATAACTCTTTAGCCAAATCTTATTATATAAAATATAGTTTTCAAAGTTAATAACTCGCATGATCGTCACACGTGTCAAGTCTATCGATCAGATGCTAACATGTGTCAAAAAATATTTAACTTTCTTCATTAACGAAATAGCAAAACTAAAAAAAAGAATATTTACATATACTAATTTATATATCTAATTTTTAAAATTTGTTAACTTTATTTTTCTTAGCCAAAAAGGAAAACTAACAATTTCTCTTCACATGTGTTATTGGTCAATTAGATTTGGCATGTGTTAATTGTTTTCTATAAAATCATTAGTATAGATATTAACAAATAAACAATAACGGTTGAAGTTTTAAATAACAATATAAGTTATTTAACATTAATTTAATTGAATAAAATTGTATTTATCATCGTAATATAGTGTTTTTATTCGTCAAATGAAAACACAAAATTTTTACAAAAAATAATGAGCTTATAAAAACTAACGATATTTAATAAGAAAATTAGTGTGGTTATACTTAATTTTATTTTAAGAATTTTAGTGCATGTAGTCATAATTATAAACTAAAAATATTTGGGAAAATGGCTTATATAATTTAATTTTTGACTACTTAATGAGAATGTTAATATATATATTTTAATGATTTATTTATTAATTTTAACTCATTTAAAATTAGTTTGCCATGAGGTAAAACTAACTTATGAGATTACGTTATATAGAAAACTATATTTTAAACAATGTTTGTTTTCCATAACTTTTGTGGATTTCTATTTTTTATTAAATGTTTTGTTATTTGTTAATTATATTTAAATTTATAATATTAACTAAGATATAGATTTGATATGATATATATACGATTTTGATACAAAATTATTATTAGCAGTTTATCCATTAAGATCAACTATGAAGACTTAAAATCAAGTTTATTATGATGTTATAAATAGTTAAATTATATTGCAAAATGGAATGTGTAAGATTGAAATTTCGTTTTAAAAAAATACTAAATTAAATATATAAAAAGTGTGTCGGTTACTATTTAGGATTTAAATATCATCAATACGAAAGAGTTTGTAAAATTAAAATTCAGTTTATTACGATGAAATAAATAGTTAAAACGTATAGAAAAATGGAATGTGTAAGATTTAGGGGGGTGTATTGAATTAAATATTTGGAGGGGTTTGGTGGAATTTCTATATTTTAGGTTTTGGAGAGATTTGAGTAAAATTTTAGGATGGTTGGGTTGATTTGTTTAATTTCTATTTTTTTAAAAAAAAATCATTAGTGATTTGGTAAGATTTATTGAAAAGATTTGGGAGAATTTAGTATTAAAAAAAAAAAAAGTCAAACGATGTTCCTTTTTTTTAATAACTATGCTTTTCTCTTTTGTTATCATCTCCTTTGCCAAACGTATGGTGTGTCACATGACTCACATTTTTTTGGACGTAGCTCTACCTCTAGATTCAATTTAATGATCAATCAATAACCAATAGTTTCAAGTCTCAACAAGTCAATAGATATAATAAAAAAAAACAATCTAAAGATATCACATAAAACGTATAGCATCATGATTCCATATTCATAGCATCTGTCCACATGTTCTCTGCTATTGTTGCTCTCCAATTATTAGTAAATACTCTTTGTTGTTACAAGTGGATTCGATTGGATACTTGAGAATGCTTGATATGAGAGAGTGAGAGAGAACTTGAAAGTAAAATCGAGATCGAGAGAGATAGAAAGACAAGAAGGAAGAGAAAAAATTGAAAGAGATAGAAAGACGAGATGGAAGAGAAAAAATTGAACCAGTCGTTGGCATGCTTTTTTGGACTTTTTTTTAACCAAATACCACCTCTGGAGGTGGTATTGTTTTGTTATTATTTTTGCACTAAAAAAGTGTCTAAAGTCTCTCCAAATCTATTTTCAGTACGAGTTTACACGTATCTTAGCTTATTAAAAAGCTCTCAGGCACGTCTCCCAATGACCACCAAAAGGAGTATGGCACTTTCAAATTACCGGATCTCACCTACTTTTAACTGCTAAAAGAAGAAAGAACCAACGGTCCATAGCCAGCACCGACGACTTCCTGATGAATGCTGGTGGTTTTTCCGGTGAATCTGCCTCCCCAACAACCATGCTCACTACCCTGAGGAGAAAACATCAAAGTTTCAGAAGCACCAGCTCCAGAACCTTGCTTTTCCTGCACTCTTTCATCTCCTCTGTAAGTTCTCTTGAATCTTGTTAACCTGTTTTCCTTGCAAACATCCCACCTCAGTGTGAAGAACATTTTCCCTCTAGCCTGCTTTAAACCATAAACCTACAAACTACAAACTTCCACTTGAAACCATGGAAAAAAGGATTCCTTACCACCTGAAAGGAAAAGGGCTGGATAGAGATTTTTCTCCTCCCCCTAGAAAGAGAATCAGAGCTCCGGATTTTGATACCTCTGACCTTATAGCAGCAAACTCTCTTGTCCTTATGGGACGCCTTACCAACCCATATGTCCAAAGACTTTGGTCACTATTTCCCTACCTCTCCAACAGATGGAATCTCAAGGGCAAAGCAACCGGAGCTGACCTGGGCAGAGGAAGGTTCCAATTCAGCTTTGAGTTTGAGGAAGACCTCAAGAAGGTCCTGGATAATAGACCTTACCACTTTGACCAGTGGATGGTCATCCTTCAAAAATGGGAACCAATCATCTCTGAGGAGTTTCCCTCCAAAATCCCTTTCTGGATTGAGCCCCAGGGTCTACCAAAGCACTACTGGAAGCCTGAAATGCTAACATCAATTGGTGAAGAACTTGGAGATATAATGGACATGGAGATTACTATCTCTTCAGCAAAGCTTAAGGTCATGATTGATGGTCTCCAACCCCTGGTAAAGGACACAATAATAGAGTTCCCTGATGGAAGTGAAGCTATAGTCATCCTGGATTACAAAAACCTGAAAAAACATTGCTCTTACTGCTTTTGACTTTCCCATGAGGAGAAAGACTGTCCAGGTTTAATCCAGGAGACAAGAAAGTCCACTGCCTCTTCTCACTCAGCTGAACGGTCAAAGACAAGGGAGACTTCAAGGAACTACTATACTCAACAAGACAAATTCAGAGCTCCTAGCAACTCAGGACACCAACCACCTATGCGGAGACTCTCCCCCAACAGACTTGACTACAGGTCAAATAATATTACAAGTAGTGAGGGGCGCAAAGATCTTACCTATAAACAGTCGAGCTATACTAGTTCTCTAGGAGAACATATTTCTCGCAAAAGAAAGTTTGAGGAGAGGGGTTTTAGAAGTACCCCAATGGTCAGCTCAAGATCCCAAGGCCACAGATCCCCTCATCCTAGAAAGTCCCCTCCCAGAAGAGAACATGCTAACTCTGTCAACAGAAACCATCAACCTGTTGCAAACCCAAATATGCAATGGAGAGCCAAATCTACACAAAGAGATCTTACCTGGGCTGAATCTTCTGACACCTCTCGAACCCGCAGACCACCCCTTGAAAGAGGAATGATAACAACTGCCTCATCTCTCCAACCAGTGCCAATACCCACCACAGAAGAGGTTATGGAAGAACTTCGAGAAGTCACAGTCCAATACACCAACTGTGCTGATCCTACTGAAAGCCTAGCCAGGAAGCAGAGAGTCCTCCAAGGAGAAGCTAGAGGACTGATGGCTGAAACTGCAGCCCTGATCATTTCCACTGCTGCTAGATCTCATGCACCCTCTCAAGGAGCTGTTGAGGAACAAGGTACTGTTGCACCTAGCTTATCCTCTGACTTACCAATTCACCCGGCTGAGGTCCCACCACCTGACTCTACACAACCTGCAAAGAAGAGGAGAGGAAGACCACCCCTTAATAAAACTGTGACCAGGACTCCTACAGCTCTAACTGGAGCAAAGTCAAGTAAAAGAAACAAAAATCTCATACAAAACTCTCCTAAGAGAAGAACAAACCTTGGCAGAACCACTACATCCTCTGAAAAGTCATCTCCTACACCTAAGAGGAAATCAGCAAAACAAAGACTATCGCTTCAGGCTGATGGCAGTGGACCCTCCAATGCTGCCCCCCCTCCAATCTCATTAATCCCAGCTAGTGTGAAGACAAAGGTGGATTTTCACAATCCACCACCTCCTCTTCCTTAAAAATAGTGAGCTGGAACTGTTGTGGTCTTGGGAACCCCATGACAGTTCATCGTCTAAAGGAGTTGCGCAGATGTAGCTCCCCAGACATAATGTTCCTAATGGAGACAAAAAACACCGATGAGTTTGTCTTCGAGAAGCTGAAAGATCTAGGATACTCTGAACTAAAACTGGTCTCTCCACACAGCCCTGGAGGAGGAGGACTTGCCTTGCTGTGGAATAAAGATCTGAAACTTAGCCTCCTATCTGAAAGCCAGAATATCATAGATACACGGATTGAAGCTGAAGGAAAAATCTTCTTTGCCACGTTCATCTATGGGGAACCCGACAGAGCCAAAAGGAAAAATATTTGGAATCAAGTGACAGCCTTAGGAGAAAACAGAACAGAGCCTTGGTTCCTAACAGGGGACTTTAATGACATAATTGATTCTGCTGAGAAACATGGCGGCCCTATCCGCCCAGAAGGATCCTTTGTGGACCTCAGAACCCTCATGTCAGAATGTGATCTGTTTGACCTGCGATATTCTGGAAATTTCTTCTCTTGGAGAGGTAAAAGGCATGACCATTTGGTGCTCTGTAGACTTGACAGAGCAATGTCAAACAGTGCATGGGCTGCAGCATATCCCTCCG